TAATCTAATTAAAAAAAAGAAAGAAGAAAACCAAATTACTAGTATCAAGAATGAGAAGGGTGAAACTACCACCAAGGAAGAGGAAATTAAAACAATTAGGAATTATTTTGCCCAACTATATGCCAACAAATTTGACAATCTTAGTGAAATGGATATATATTTACAAAAATATAAACTGCCCAGATTAACAGATGAGGAAGTAAATACTTATATAACCCCATCTCAGAAAAAGAAATTGAACAAGTCATTGATGAATTCCCTAGGAAAAAATCTCCAGGGCCAGATGGATTTACATGTGAATTCTATCAAACATTTAAAGAACAAGTAATGCAATACTATATAAACTATTTGGTAGAATAGATAAAGAAGGAATCTTACCAAATTCTTTTTATGATACAAATATGGTGCTGATACCTAAACCAGGAAGAGTCAAAACAGAAAAAGAAAATTATAGACCAATTTCTCTAATGAATATAGATGCAAAAATTTTAAACAAAATATTAGCAAATAGATTACAGAAACTTATCATATGAATAATACACTATGACCAGGTAGGATTTATACCAGGAATGCAGGGGTGGTTCAATATAAGAAAAACTATCAGCATAATCCATCATATCAACACCAAAACTAACAGAAACCACATGATCATCTCAATAGATGCAGAAAGAGCTTTTGACAAAATACAACACCCATTCCTATTAAAAACACTAAAGACCATAGATATAAATGGAGTCTTCCTTAAAATAATAAATAGCATTTATCTAAAACCTTCAGCAAGCATAATATGTAATGGGGACAAGCTAGAAGCATTTCCAATAAGATCGGGGGTGAAATAAGGATGTCCATTATCACCACTGTTATTCAACATTGTACTGGAAACTTTAGCTTTAGCAATAAGAGAAGACAAAGACATGGAAGGCATTAGAATAGGCAAAGAAGAAAAAAGCTCTCACTCTTTGCAGATGACATGATGTTATATTTAGAGAATCCCGGAGAATCAAGTAAAAAACTACTTGAAATAATAAACAACTTCAGCAAAGTTGCAGGCTATATAATAAACCCACATAAATCATTGGCATTTCTACACATTACCAACAAAGCCCAACAGCAAGAGATAGAAAGAGAAATTCCATTTAAACTTACTGTAGACATTATAAAATATTTAGGAATCTACCTCCTGAAACAAACCCAGGAACTCTATGAACACAATTACAAATTACTTTTCATGCAAATAAAATCAGATCTAAATAACTGGAAAAACATCAGTTGCTCATGGGTAGGCCGAGCTAATATAATAAAAATGAGCATTCTACCTAAGCTAATTTACTTATTCAGTGCCATACCAATCAAACTACCAAAAAATTATTTTATAGAGTTAGAAAGAAGAATAACAAGATTCATTTGGAAGAACAAAAGGTCCAGAATATCAAGAGAACTAATGAAAAGAAATTCAGAGGAAGGTGGCCTAGCCACTCCAGATCTTAAATTGTATTATAAAGCAGCAATCATCAAAACTGCTTGGTACTGGCTAAGAAATAGAGTGGTGGATCAGTGGAATAGGTTAAATATGCAAGACTCAGTAGTCAATGACTATAATAATATATTATTTGATAAACCCAAAGACCCCAGCTTCTGGGATAAGAACCCATTCTTTGAAAAAAAACTGCTGGAAAAACTGGAAAAGAGTATGGCAGAAACTAGGCGTAGATCAAAATCTCACACCATATTCCAAAATAAAGTCAAAATGGGCTCATGACTTAGACATAAAGGCTGATACTATAAGCAAACTGAGAGAGCAAGGAATAGTTTACCTGTCAGATCTATGGAGAACAGAAGAATTCATGACCAAACAGGAGATAGAGAACATTACAAAAAGCAAAATAAATAATTTTGATTACATTAAATTGAAAAGTTTTTGCACAAACAAAGCCAATGCAACTAAGATTAGAAGGAAGGTAGAAAATTGGGAAAGAATTTTTACAACCAGTCTCTCTGATAAGGGCCTCATTTCTAAAATATATAGAGAATTAAGTCAAATT